ACCCTGGACTGGATCCGGACGCGCCATCGGGCAAAGCGGGAGGTGCTGGCCGGGACGGCAGACAAGATCCCGCTGACGCCCAACGACAACGTCGCCAGCGACTACCTCTGCATGGCCTGGACCGTCCTGCTGCTCGCCATCCCCTCCTACCGCGTTGGCAACGTGCTTTACGACGCGGCGAAGAAGGTCAAGGCCATGCTCGACAAGCTTATTGGCAAGAGCGGCGTCACGGAGGGCCGGCTGGAGGCCGAGTATATCCAGGCCTTGACGAAGGCCTACGACGACGCCTGGGATTACTCAACGAGGGAGGGGCGGACCGCCAAGCTGCCGGCATTTGAGTTTTTCCGGAAGGTGGCCATCTACGGCCACCTGATGGACGAGGAGGCGCTCAGGAGGGCGGCCGACGACTTTTGCGCCAAGACGATCGCAGGTATGTCTCTGCGTGAGCATGTAGCCAGGCACACAGTGCACTCACACCCGGCGAATTCGATCGCATGTCTGTGTGCTTGCTTGAAGGGATGGAAGTGGACGAGTTGTCGACCACCGCTGCAGCGTCGCCCGCCTCCTCCCCCGTATGCCCCGAGTGACTCAAGGACACCACAGACGAGGGGTAAGGCGGCGTGGGGTTGCCGAGTGAGCAGCAGATCGAGATGCGGGTGCAGGGGGTCATCGAACAGGCCTATGAGGAGCTGGTGGAGCCCACCAAACACGAGGAGGAGGCCGCCCGAGAGGCCGCCATAGCCGCACAGCCTGCCGTAGTCACAACTGAGGTGGAGGTCGAGGTGGCCGCATTCGAGTACGAGGCGCTGCCCGTGCTGCTGCCATCAGCTGAGGGGGAGGGCCAGAGAGAGACGCCGACACAAGAAGAGCAGATACCCGAGAAGCAGCCGGAGGAGACCGTCTGTACGAGAGTTGGTTCGGCCCCCGCGAATTAATTCGTGTGTGGTGTGGTGTGGGGGTAAGGGCATTGCCTATGGCATGTACAGTCTCGCCAGCATGGTGTGATGTCATACGTGTGCCGTCTGTAAGTAATGCTCATGCACTCACTCACTCACTGGTCCGTCCATAAATACCCAAGTGCATCTGTCTGTGTGTGAGTGAGCCCAATTTTAACTTAATGAATGCATGGTGCATGCACCTGTCTGCCGTACCGTGATGTGTACCTACGGCCAAGCCGTTGACTGTGTGTGGGTGTGGGTGTGTCTGTCTGTGTGCGGCGCCTTCCGAGAGAGAGAGGGTGCACGTGTTTACACAGATGTGAGAGCAGACGGCCCTTTTGGT